GGACTGGAGGCTAAAACATAAAAAGAACGATTGCTGGAATTGAGTATGTCTAATGAAAAGAAGGACTAGGTGTTACACGATAGCAGTGTTCCAATATCTAAGGGGTTGCCACAAAGACAAGGGAGTCAAACTATTCTACAAAGCACCTGAAGGCTGGTCAAGAAGCAATGGATGGAAACTAATCAAGGAGAGAAGCAACTTAGAATTAAGGAGAAATTTCCTGACAGTTAGAACAATTAATCAGTGGAACAACTTGCTTCCAGAAGTTTTTAAGAAGAGACTGGACAAACATTTGCCTGAAATAGTATAGGGTTTCCTGCCTGAGCAGGAATGGGTTAGAAGACCTCCAAGGTCCCTTCCAACTCTATTATTCTGTTAGTTATCTTGAACTCTGCATATGTGGATCTGGTCACTTGCACCTGACAATATGTGCTTTGTTGATTATAGAAAGGTCTTTGATTGTGTTTATCATGACAGTCTGTGAAATGTCCTTAGAAAATTAGAGTCCAAGAACTTCTCAATGTAATCATGCAAAATCTATATTTTATATATTTATTTATTAAATGTATATGTCGCTCACCTGAAATATATAGGCAAAAGCCAGAGTTCAGGCACAACATGGCAATATGTCATTGCTCCAGCTTGGCAAAGGAGTGAACAAATGCCATATATTCTCTCCTTATTTAACATGTCATTTAATCAGCCTATATTCTCTGATTGCAAGAAGTTAAAATTGGAGGAGGAAGCATCAGTAACCTGTGGTATGCTAATAATTCTCCTCTGGTTCCAGGCTCTGGTAATAGAAGTTGAACAAAGTGTAAACATGGGGATAAGATTATATTTAATCTTAAGAAAAGCAACCTAATAACAGGTACAGCAGCCAATCAGTGATATGACAATAAAGATACTGAAGTGGTAGTTAGTTTCTGCTCTTTTGGATGGATTATTAAGAGTAGCACAAATACACACTAATGCTTGGTAGGAAAACATAAAATGATATTCAGATGCTTTCATCTGTCTATACTTACCAAGAGCAAACTTGCACAAGCAATGGTTTTGCCTGCAAGACTATATGGAAGCAAAGTAGGTCTTTGAAGAAGTTCAATAGAAAGAGTATTGATGCATGTGAATTTTTGTGTTGGAGAAGATTCTGAGAATATATGGGTAGCCAAGAAACAAAAATCAGTCCAGACTTGTCACCCAAGGCCAAATGACCTTAGATACATTATGAAAAAACCCTATATCTTTAGAGAAAACTATAATTATAGCAAATGTGAAAAGAAAGAGAAAACAACCAGTATCAAGATGGAGGGGGACTTCTGCTTAGGCGTCGCGGTGTGATGGGTGCAGGAAGACGGGGCTCCGTCTTCCATGTTCAATTTTGCCCCGCTAGGGCCCCTAAAAAGGGTCGAATGTTGCCCCTGAGAGGTGACAAAGAAGGAGGGGACCCTCATCGATTGCGGAGGGGCGGCGACCCTTCTGCTGAATCCGAGGAAGCCCTCCAAACTGGTGGGGGAAAGACTGGCTACATTCATGTGGCTAGTCAGAAGCTGCTGACAATTGAATATAAGCACTAACTAGCAATTTTTGAGCAACGTGGATGGAACTGGGTGAGACTTTATCCTCTTTTTATGACCTTAATACTATTTTCCTAAAAAAATGAGTGCCCAAAGCAAAGAATCCTCCCTGATGAGAGAGGGAAGGGAAGTTTTTGCCCCACTTCCTCAGGAAAAGAAAAGCTGTGAATTAATTGCTTTGGGGGAAAATAGAGAAAACTACAAGATCAATTTGGAATTAATACAGATATATAGCTTTGAAATTTGGGGACTAAAAGTACCTTTGAGACTTTTTTTAGAAAAAATATTTAAAAGTCTGTAAAAGAGGCTTGGATTTGGAAAGCTGGAAGACAGTGTCAATGACATCCAGTGGTGAATTACGGCACTACAATTTATTATACTTAAAGGAAACTTGACTTGAAGCCTGGACTTAGATAAGACTCTTTGTTGTTCCTGGAAACTTTCACTTTTGCTGACTGCAGCTGGGAAAAGGAAAAAAAAACTCTTGGGCTGCTTATCTGTGTTGGGGACCCTACTGGATTATAAAGACTACATACAAAAACAAAACGGATGTTCCATACTTAGCATCAATTGGTAAAAAAACCCCATCTTTAACACTTGTCTCCGAAGCTCCCAGCTTGATATATCAACAAGAAAATGTTAATGAATCTCAGAAAGAAGTTTTTTCTATGTTGAAATCAATCCAAGAGACAATTGTTTTATTTCATAATGAGACTAAAAATAATACAAATGAGATAAAAGAACAATTTTCTAACCTAAACTTACAAACCCAGACAATGACTACAAAGAAGGAGCTAGTAACCCAGAAAACAGAAGGAAAATTAGAAGAAACTGATCCAAAGATGGAGGACCTAAAGGAAGGAATTAACGGACAGATACAGACATATGAAAAATTAAAAGATGCAGTGATAACAAACAATAAGAAACAAGAAATGAAAAGAAAAACTGAAGGATGGAGGCTGTTTAATGAATATAAATGGGTTGAGCGTTCTTCCAAAAATACTTCAATCAAATTCTCTTCCTCATTCCAAACAATACATACAAAAACAGAGAAAGAATTATTTGATGATTCAAATGCACTGACTTGGAAAGTTATTTGGCAAAGGAAGAAAGCTAGAGTAAGACTGAAGAAAATAGAGGTTTTGACCTATTAGATGGGATATTATACTATTAAACAGATGTTTGAATATAGTTAAGAACATAGATAACTGTTAGAAATAAAAGTATTATTATAATAAGAAGGATAGGATTTGTAACTAGAATATTATACTTTGTTACGAGATGGAAAATATGAAAATTCTAAAAGAGTTTGAATAAGGGAAGCCCTTAGTTACCCAAATATAATTTATTATGAGAGAATTATAAGCGATAGAAATATTTTGAACATTGATGGGAAATTATTTTTTTTTAAAGCCAGAAAAACAGGATATTGATTGAACAAATGGATTTTATTACAGTGGCAGTATGTATATCTTTAGGATATTTCAACCTGGAAAAATTCTCTCTATTTTTTCACTAAGGTATGACATTCATTTGATAATACATAATTAATAATAGATAATAGATGTAATTAAAATTTTATTGCCAGTTTCAAGATATGGTTCTTTTCCAGAAATCTGTCTTTGCAATAAGTTTTTAATTTTTTTCTGATGCAATAGTAAAGGTTTTTTTTTCAATTTGGCACTTATTTCATTATGAAAAATTACATCAGTTCATTTATATGAGTAACAGATGGTAATATCTTTGCATGAATTTATAGTTGGAATCTACAGGATTAAAATAAAAGCAATCTAAAACATTTAATATTCTTCCATGTTAAGTTTGGTAAATGTTATAGTTTCATTGTATATATTTGCACTATTTTGCATATCTTTATAAATTCATTTTTACATTATATTTTGCACAAAATTAAAGATGATAAATTTGTCTCACTAACTGACTTGTTATTTTCCAAAATCTTTCAGTGTTTCAGAGTTTAAATAGAAAACTGTAGGATAAAAGAATTTAAATGTCTAGCTAAGTTGACTATGTTTGATGAGAGTTGAACATCTAGAAAATCATATGCTGACCATTTCTAGATAAGACAGATATGAAAATGGGTGTGTTTATATCTCCAAAAATAAAAGAGCATTTGATTTGTAGAAAAAGAACATGCAAAAGTCTGATGCTGATGTAAGCTGGTAAATGTGAAAATAGTAGTCTTACATATAGCTAAGATTACCTTAAATACTTTAAATTTATCTTAAATATATGATTAGAGTTATGTTATATTTTTTATTCTTATTATTCTTTTAAATTATATTCCTCACTGCTATGCTTTTTGGGGGTCCAGTTTAAAAAAAATGTGAAAAAGGGTTGTGACAAGTAGCAGAATTTATTTTCTTAGTGCTACCAAACTATAGGAACATAATCAAAATGTTTATGAGCCGAATGTAAATTCTGATTGACCCAATTATGATTAATACAATTTCAATAACACCAATATGAGTTAGCACTTAGCAGTAGGTCTGGCCTGAAAAGGAACAGTAAATCATTTAAATTCAGAATTAAATTTATTCATCTCTGTAAATCCTTTTGCTAATACAAAGAGAAGGAAAAAGCGTAGCTTGGAAATTACTTTCACAATCATTCTTATTTTAACATTTCATGCATGTTCTGCCCAGCCCTTGCCCTGGCATCATTTTCTTGTGTGATATTTTTAAAAAAATAATTTAGAATGTTGTGTATTTGGAATTTACCATGAGGTTATAATGTGCTTAAACATTTTTAATGTTCAAATGCTAAATAAATTTTTCATATGACTAATGTTTTAAGAATAATATTTAGATGGTACATTTGTAAGATAAATGCAGTATTGTATGAGTATTATCATTATAATTCCAACTTATGTACAAGTTATAATTATTTAGATTTTGTTATTTAATCATGTTGACACTTTTGTAGTTAAATAAATGAAGATAGTTTATTCAAAATAATACTGAATCTAGAATTCATGCCTCAGGCTTATTAGATCAGTGGTCCCCAACCTTTCCGGTTTAAGGGTCCAGTGGGCAGGGGAGAGGGGATGGTTCCATGCGAGTGGTAGGCACACACGTGCAACTCCATTCGCCCGCTGTTCACACAAGTGAAGCTTCACATATGAGCGCAAGCACCTGCCACTCACAAAAGCGCCTGCTGCTCATGCAAGTAGAGCTACTCACATGCTCTCACCCACCACTCATGCAGCCCAGTTCCAAATGGGCTGTGGCCCAGTAGTGGGCCATGGCCCAAGATTGGGGATGATCTTGGGCAATTCAATTTCACTTCACTTCCATTCATTGAAAAAAGTACCTTTTAAAAAAATATTATGGGACAACTTGTGAACTGTAAACAATTTTGTATACTAAAAATGCATTTATACAGTTAACCAGATTCCCTCTTTTTAGGAACATCCATTACTTGGTCAGCCTTTCTTTGTACTTCATCCCTGCCGGACAAATGAATTTATGTCTTCAATATTATCCAATTTACATAAACAAAAAAAGTGAGTAATACCCGTGTACATTCTCAAATCCAATATTAAATATTTCATGAAAAAAAAATCAATAATGTATTTTTGATGATGAACTATTACCTAAGAACTATATATGTTTTCTATAGCTATGGGGGAAAACAGGTTACAAAATAAGGTACTAATTCCTAAATTTATTGTTATAATGAGTATATAATTCTTATAGTTCCATAGTTCAAGTTGAACAACTTAAGAGTTATTTCTCAAAATAGTAAACCAGACATTCTGTTATTTATATGGCCAGTGTTATATCATGATTTTGACAAATATTATGTTTGTTTATTTATTAGACTTGTTTGCTGCCCATCTCTTGCCTAGAGATGACTCTGGGCAGTTTACAAACATTAATATTATGTTAATGGTTATTAGTTGTAAGCAAAATATCCCTATATAAAACTTAAAATATCTTTTGAAAAAATAAAGTCCTGAATCTCATGTAGTCCTTAGGTAATGTTACATGATAGAATGTATAGAGTTGAAAAGGGTCTTTAAGTCCATCTCTCTGATCAGGGGAACAATTTAAATGAAGGTATCCCTGTCTAATTTTTGCTTGAATATAACAATTGCACCATGTCACCATGCCCTTCCTAATGGGACAAGTAAATGTAATTGAGATAGGTAGTCCCTCAAATTAGCCAGCACCTTGCCATAAAGGGCTTTGAAGTCTACTTTACTGTAAGAAACTTATAAGTCCAGGTTCTGCACTGTAGAATAATAAGCTGATATTCTTCTGTTGATATACTTTCAAATATTTGAAGAGTGCTACTGTATGCTCTTCAGGTCTTCTCAAGTTAAACATTCCAGTTTTCTCAGCCTCATAGGATTTTCTTTGTTGTGTTCTAAGAACTATCATTGCCTTTTTCTGTACCTGTACTGATTTCTCTGTATCTTTTTGAAAATGTAGTGTCCAAAATCAAATGCAGAACTGTATCCAGAGTATCTTCTACCTGAAACTTGGAAATTGTTCACCAGCTCATACTGGTAGTCCTTGACTTACGATGGTAATGGGACTGGAATTTGTTGCTAAGCAAGGTGATTGTAAAGCACAACCACATTGCTTAGTGGTGGTAATCCCTGCAGTCTCGTTGCCATTCTTAACTGAATCCCATGGTCATTAAGTGAAACAACTTCTTGCTAGCTTCTCACAAATAAGTCAGTGGGGAAGCCAGTAGGAAGTTCCAGGAAGCTTGTAAGCAGGACAGCAGGGAAATAAGTGGCTGCTGATAGGAGGGAGAGGGTGCAAGAGTTAAAAGGAGGTGTGGTAGGACTCGAAGAGGGTGAACAGGGCTGTGCAATGTCAGAGAGTCTGAGGGAGGATGAACAGTTGAGGGGAGACCTATCCCAGTGATTTGCAACCTTCTGTACTGTTTCCCCATTGATTTTCTGATGAAACTGGCAGGGAAGGTCGCAAATGTCCATGTGATGTATAAAAAAAGTAGAAGTTTTGGATTCAAATATTCACACTGATTAAGATTATTTAAAAGATTAATATACGTTTGAGACCAGATGTTTTTCTTTTGGGATTCATGGACAAACAATTGGAAAAAAGTCATGGAACTTAGTTTTTGTATATAACTGCAGTGAGATTATTGTATGCACACAGATGGAAAGAGCCGGCATCACCTACAGTAGCAGAGTGGTTGTTGAAGATGATGGAACTTTCTTTTGTCAATGAAAGACAATATCTATGTGTACAGTTGACTGGAAACCTCTTGTGCACTTTTACCATAAAACAGAGAAAAATGAATTACAATTTGTGATTTTGAGGCAGGATAGATTATAGAAAGAAGAGAGTAATGTTGTAATCATAGAATAAGAGGTAAATTTATAATTGTTCTAATAACTATTGTAAAGAAAAATGGAAACCAATTCTTTGTATCTTTTTTCTTTCTTTTCTATTTTTCTATTACTTTTCTTTCTTTCTTGTGCTTTTAGTTTTCTATTTAATTTCTTTGCATTTTCTTACTTTATCTTATTTTTTATTAGTTTTATCTTCTTTTAAAAAATATTAAAATAAAATTATATTTATATATATATATAAAAGTAAGTGTAAGATGGTTGTCAAGTGCTCAATGATCATCTGACTGTGGGGCTGCTGGAACTCTGAGGACTGGTTGTAACAATCATTCATTCAGCTCCATCATAACTTAAACAGTTGCTGAATGAATGGTTGTAAGTCAAGGACTAACTGGATAGTGTTTCTTTTTCTTGTGTACTAGAACATTAGTACACATTCTTCCTTAGTGACCTCACTTAATGTCCTTACCTGCCATATATGTCTTCTTTTTCCAGATGGTCACTAACAGTTTTATGCATCTACAGTGGCTTCTGCTGTTTTTATTTTTCTTTGTTAAATTTAGTTACAATTATGTTTTCAGCATCTTCCTATTTTCTTTGCCTGCCACCTATTATTGCTTTGTATTGATTAAAGTCTGTTTTCTTAGGTTCAAGAGATATGTTTGACTATAATCTGATTCTAGTAGTAGAGAGCCACCAACTACAATTCCCTTCTTTGTTATATTTGCAGGTAGCAGTTCAGTCCTACTGCTATTCAGGGTTGAGAAATTGAACTTTCTCATATTCCTCAAAGACTAAAAAATTCAGTTGAATGACTGAAATAGAGAAATGTGAGAAGAAATTAAGCTATATTCTCAATATCAGTGTCCAGTCGTCCATTTATTTGGGTTACTTAACAAATAACTTGATGCTTTTAAAAGTTCATCAAAGTCCAGTTCTATGGGCTTTAAACACTCTTTGCAATATTCTTTTCTAAAAGAGCTTTCAGTTATTTGTGGCTTTGTGCTTTTATTACATTACAGGTTCCACTATGTTTCAGATCTGTTGAATTTCATTTGTAATTTTTGCAGCTTTTCTTATTTAAAACAGGATTTTTTTAAAAAAAGAACAAAAACAAGTTGACTTGCCTTATACTTAATTTAAAGTATAAACAATTGTAATAAAACAATTTCACAATCACCAACTAAAAGATTTTATGGTGGTACCTCTTGCAATTAATTCATCCTCTATAGAGATGTCTAACAACTGTCTCAAAATACACTGTACTGGAAGGTTAGAATTGCCAATAATGTAAATTGTTTTACAAAATGTTCTTTCTTATAAGCTGTGTGTCATAACACTTTAATAAAAAATACTGCCCAACTTTCAAAGATACTTGGAATATTTCATTACAGTTCCCCTAAATAGAAATGTATAGTTCCTTTTTTCTTTGTAGGCATACAAACTACATTATTTCATGGTTGAGTATTGTTGGCCCAGTTGTGGGTCTCCATCTGCCTTTGAGTTATGCAAAAGCCAATTTGGAAGAGACTACAGGTGCTGATTAAAGAGGTAAAATATAAGATGTCATTATTTATTTATTTATTAATTTTTTATGTCACTCATGTCCACAAGGGGAAACTCTAGACGGCTTACAAGTAAGTAAAAACAATAGGATAAAATATTAAAATAATAAGTATTAACTTTAAAATGATTAAAAGTCGTCAAAGATGGGAAGGAACAGAGCAAGATATACATGGGATGGAGGTGGAGTCTTATCTCAGTCTGTTAGCCACCTCCAGTATGACACCTCCCCATTGGGTCCCCAGGCCAGTTAGAAGAACCAACTACTCAAACTCTTTCAGAAGGCCAGAAATGATTCATGTAAGTTTTGATGGTTTGTATCCAAAGCCAAACATATACATTTGGTCCACATAATTAAGCCGGCTTGTTTTGTCCTGATTATGGATCACAATGGAGTTATTATAGACAGAACTCTTTTGGTGGCAGGAAGAGTAGAAACAGTAAAACATTGACAAGGATTGAGGGAAAGCAACGTAACACGAAAAGGGAAAGTTCTGAACATTAGGAGTGGGTGGTCCAATGCAGTATGCTGTGACATTATTGTTGGGAATTGGAGATATAAAAGATACGATCAGGTGGAATGAAATGGAAGATAGTGGGGCAGGTAGATGATGATCATCAGTCTTTTCCTACTCATCCTATAAAATTATTTTAATTTGATTTAACCCAGAATATTCTGGGATATGTTTCTGCCAAATCATCTAGAATGGTTTGGCAGAACTTCCAGAATGCGATGTATTTATTTTGTGTTTGAAACAAAACATATTTCAGTTTGTGCACATTCTTCTAAAATAGTATTTATTTAAATTACATATTCAAAAGCCCTCTTTCTTGGAATTACTAATTGCTAATCATAGGTCTGCTTCTCAAACTATAAAATATCAAACTTTTTTTTATATACCAATAACTTTATACCTAAATGGGAGTATAGATTTTCTAAAAGGTGTTCTCCTGAGTTTGTTGCTTTTATTTTTATTATATGGCTTATATATTATATTTTGTATCTTTCCATTGGTTTTACGCTGTTCTTTAGAATACTATATATTGATGTCTTTTGTGTGAAAACTCAAATTCTCTGGCTGGCGCAGATTAAATTAGAGATAATTTTCACTATGGTTGAGAAACTGGAATGAGAACGTTTCCCTGTTTCTCTATAGAGAAAATTTATTTCCCATTTATATATGATTGCTACTTATGACACAGTAGTCATGACTATGACCAAGGCTTTTTTTCTCATAGAACACCCAGAACGGAGTTCCGGCACCTTTTTGGGATAGAACCTTGTAGGGTAGGCAAGGTGGGCTGTATGACGTGTGTGAGTTCTGGCACCTTTTTTTGTTTTAGAAAAAAAGCACTGACTATGACTAATAACATTGGTCTCACTTAACTAGAATAAAAACTAGGATTGAAATGTAATAAAATAAATGAATATGGAAGCATCTTTCACATATTGTATTTTTGTCTTAGAAAAAAATACATGTTGAAGTGATAACTGCATAAAGTATCTAGTAAATCTAAAATTGCTTATATATATTTTTGCAGAGTATGTTCTCAGTAATAGTTATTTGTCTTAAATATTTATGCAGTGAAGAACTGTTTTCAAATGCTGCGGGTAATTATTCTAATAATCAAAGAAAAAAATAAAAGCAAGATTTATCAAAAGTAAGTTTAGATTCATCATTCTCTTCATGTTTACATTTTGATCTCATTCGAACCATAGTTTCTGATTACTTTTTCATTGTTATTTCAGATTATGGACAGAAAAATATGGATTTGGAGTGAAATATAAAGTGTCACAAGCCTTATAATTTAACTTATACTTGGAGCTAAGGATAATACAACAATGGAGACCATGTTGCATTGATATAGTGTGATGAACATCCAGTTTACAAAGAAGTTTTCATTTCAATCAGAATACATGATGCCATCGGGATACAAATATTGATTCATATTATAATTTCCTTGACTATGATAAGTGGGTAAAAAGACATCCTCCCCAAAACAAGTAAGAGGACTATATTGGAACAACATCTGGGCCAGTGCTTCAAATCATAGAAAGCAATTGCCAAAGATATCTGAAACCAGCAACAGTTACAATCATTTCTCTATCTCGACTGCTGTTGAAGCTTATGCAAATTAATGAAAAGGAATAATTTGTGTGCAGGACTCATGAGCAAAGCTGATAACATAACTTTCTTCTTTTGAAGATTTAGTATGAAATGTAATCATACAGAATGTTAAGAGGCTAGTGCACACATAAGGAAAACTACTATTGGCTACAGCTTCTATTTATAAGCATTATAATATATTAAAGGCTAATATTTATATGACTTATGACCAATTTTATGTCATGGTGGCAATTTTATTTTTTTTCAAGTGTCTTTCCTATTCCTGTGGAAATGAGGAACTTTGGTATAACAATGCAGTAAGGGATGCTGCTTTCACCAACTTATAATTTATGGTCCATTAATCAAATATCTTAGCCTGGATCCCATATCAGAAATAACCCAGACCAGGAGGAAAGTGTCCAAGGGGTCAAAATTGGCTTTGAAAAGAGTCCATTACTGTGTCTGGATGTCATTCTCATAAATAAAATGGCAGCTGCTTTCACACCTACTTGTCTTTCTGTATGCTATTTCTTTAAAGAAAAATGTTTGACATAGAAAAACTTAATATATGTAATAGCCCAATCCAAACCATCTGAAATTTAAGTCCTGTAAATAATGTGTATCTTTGTTTTCTGTTTTTTTCCAGCTGGTTTTCTTTTCAGTAGAGTTGCATAAAGATAAACTGTGCTGAAAAGTTTACATTACAAGTTCCACAACTTTACAAGGTGCACACACATGCTTATGTATGGTTATGGCTTATTCTTTCAAGAGGTTAATTAGCAGTCAATGTAGGAAACCAATTAGCAGAAAATGGTCAGGTTTTTATTTCAATTATCTTATTTAATTATTCACTGTCTAATTAATGTCAATTACTTCTCTGAGATGCACCCTAGCATAGTATGTGCCTTCCACTATTTTTTTATTTCTATTAGAATAGTATCAGTTGTAAACAAAATCTGCCTATTTCTTACTATAGTAAATGGTGTCAATATTCCAATATTGTACTATACCGATTACAAGTTAATTTTCAAAAGCTCAGTGTGTTTTGATAATTAAAAAGGCAATTCATTACTTTAGCTTCTTTCAAAATATTAGGATATGTTGAAATAATTCATAGGGTACAATTAAGACTTGGGCTTGTTCTTAGCTTTATGTCTTTTCCCATCTATAGTAATCAAATCTCCACAAAGATTAAATAGATTTCATGTAAATAAAGTTACTATAATGTCAGTATGAGAAATATTACACTGTAATATAATATCCATATAATTTCCATGTAAACCTTTTTCATTTTTCTTCAGTTTAATTTTTTATTTTTATAGGAAAAAAATACATGTAAAACTTATTATTTAAAATATTTTAGAATATCTCCTATTTGTTAAATATAAATTATTTATTTTGCATTCTTTAAAGTGGCTATAGTGCAATTTAATACTTTTGTTTGATGATGTAACTGCACATTTTTAAACTGAGTTTTGTGATGTGTGTCTGTACATGCATATGTGCACTACCACATTAAAACACATAGAAGTCAACTAAGAGTTGTGATACCAGCTTAGTCTTAAAATCCATATTTTCATTCCCTTGATCTAAATATATACAGTATAAGAAAAATGAAATAAAAACTCTCATGTTGGTGACACTACTCCTATTTGGATTCTTATATATTCAGGATGCATGTTGTCTGAATGTCACCTGGTATCTTAATTATATTTTATTGTACAAACTAATTATAATATTTAATTATGTAATTATTTATAACTTATAATTATTTAATGTACTTGAGCTTGGTTAACTATTTTTAATGGCAGAATTTATATCATGATACCTGGCAAGCGTAGTACTTTAAGTTGGGTCTGCACTGTGAGCGAATTACCACCAGACTACAAAAATGCCATTCCTCGCTGCTTAACAGCAGTTAATGTTTCACTGTATGATGCTGGAATGTCAAGATAAAATGCTGAGGAAAAAGGATGCATATTTCAATAAATGCAATGAAATTATCCAGAGCATTTCTATTCTAATACTAGTACAAAACTAAGAATAATCTTCTAGACATACGCTACTTATTTTTTCCAGTTTCTGTTAAAGTTCTATGAGGTTGTCTTAATAGAAATAAAAGTTTAGTTATTAACCATAATTCAGAAAAATACAGATTTTAATCATAGAGGTCTATATATGCAATATGACATATAGCTGTACAATATCTAACCAACCATTAATTTGTTGGTCTATTCCACTATTTTTTCAATAGTGGAATAGCAATACAAAATACACATATGGTGATATTTATGAATGCTTTTTTATCTCATGACTTTTATTGTTTTATCCATGTATAAAATACAAAGAAAAATAAAACTAAGGGAAGGAAAAAGAGAGGGGGGAAAATATGAGGTACAAGAGAAGAAAGAAAAACCCAACTCTTTTTAGCACAGTACAAGATAACAACATTGCAGACTCAACTTTTTACTTTTACACATTAGTATATAACTACTGGTAGCCATTTCTATAATAACTAATCTATCTCCAAAGCGCCTGGAGGCAGGACAAGAAGCAACGGGTGGAAACTAATCAAGGAGAGAAGCAATCTAGAACTAAGGAGAAACTTCCTGACAGTGAGAACAATTAACCAGTGGAACAACCTGCCTCCAGAAGCGGTGAATGCTCCAACACTGGAAGTTTTTAAGAAGAGACTGGACAGCCATTTGTCCAAAATGGTATANTATTATTATTATTATTATTATTATTAATCGGTAAAACCAAAGTTTCATTTTTTTTCATCATAAGCACAAAATCCAGGAGTGATATCCAAATAAAAATAAATAAATATATTCTTCTCTTTGAATAAAACAATCAATTTAACCATTTCTGCTTTATCTTCCTTGCTCCGGAAATAATATGTATTTCTATTTTCACTTAGCAATCTTTATAAACTATCACCATTTATATTAACAAAATTGATTGTATTCTTTCAGATTCTTTAATCTTAAAGGTTAATTTAAAAAAAAACCCTGCACAATACTTCAAGATAAAACAATAACATGAAATGTGCATTTAATGAATGTAAGGCAATTGAGAATAAGACCATTCTAATACAGTAATGTATGAAAGTCACTCTAGATATACTATATAGTGTTCTGGTCACTATAAAATAAAATTTAGTGAAAATTGAAGTATAGGGAACTCTGCTATGATTAAATATTAAAACCTCTAGGATGGGCTTCCGGTTCCAGATCGCGGCTCTGGCGGATGTGCGTGGCGATCACTCCCTCTGCCGTCTGGTTTTCTCTCGGGGGATCCTGAAAGGGGTCAAAAGTCACCTTGGAGAGGCGACGAGCGGGGAAGAGGACCTTCCGATTGATCACAGAAGGGCCGCAGCCCTTCCGTTTGATCCGGAGCAGCTCTTCGGACCGACGGAGAAAAGATCGGCCACTCACATGGCCCATCATTAATGCCATTTCCAGCCGAGGTCAAACTTACAACTAAGCACTTGAAAGCACCGCAGAGGAACTGGGTGAGATCTGCCTTCTTTCTACCCATAGTATTTTTTCCTGTAAAAGCTTTTTGAAATTGCTTCCCCCTGTGAGGAGAGAGGGAAGGGAACGTTCTTTTCTCACCCTCCAAAATGGTGGTGGCTGCCCACATAGGGGAGATAAACCCCTGAAAAATATAATTAAGTAATTGGACTTACATGTTTCTTAGAGCTGGCAACGCAAAAAGTTCTTACTTTCACGGGAACTGGCTATCTTAAACTATTTGGAAAAAAACACAAAAAGAACCTAACTGGATAAAAGTCTAGCCTTTCTGAAAAGGATTTTAAACTGGCTTTTAAGAACTGTGGAGGTGAACATTCAACGACTTTTATTTAAAAAAATTAGCCTCCACTAAAGGACTATCTATAACTACTTTAGAAATGGAGGGGGACCAGCAACAAACTTTGCTTGACTATAAACTTATACTTGAAAAAATCCTTGAAGCTACTGAGATAATTAAATCTAGATTGAAAGACAAAGGCGCCAGCTTGAATCTACAAACTGAAACCCAGATTCCACCTCAAGAACTTACAACCCAGAAAACAACAGAAGCGGAAGAAATCAATACCAAGACAGAGGACTCTGAGGAACAACAACAATATATTGAAAACTCTGACAACCAAATCCTGATTGCAACCAAAGAACTTACAACCCAAAAAGTAACAGAAGTGGAACAAAGTAATACCAAAATAGAGGATGCTAAAGATAAACAAGGGCAGCACATTGAAAATCTAGATAACCAATAAATAACTATAAAATTGGACATGACCTTTTACCTAAATCAGAAGAAACCTGAGGAAGAAGAAGACCAGACCGAATAGAAGATAAAGATACCAGAACAAACACCGAGATTTGAATTACCAGGGCAACAACTTAATGATTATAAATGGACCAGTTTTTTTGAAAAATTGGTGACTAGACGGTCTCCTTTGATTCGAGTAATATGTGCCAGAATGAAAGGAGACCTACTTGATAACTTAAAGACATTGGTATGGAAACCTGGTTGGCAGAAAAAGAAAGCTAGAGTTAGGTTTAAAAAATGGGGCCTTCTGATTTACTAAGAGAGATCCTAATGTCTCAACTAATGGGCTAAAGGGAGACCTGGAGATGAAGGGAAATATGACTATTAGATTCAAATGTTGTTGGGAAATGATGATGATGATGATGATGATGATGGATCAATTGGTCTAATTAGGGTTTTGATTTACAAGGGAAATGGAAATTAAATATTAGCAATCAGGCTTGAACTATTCTTTAGCCCAGAAAATATAGATGATGGATTTGAGACAATAAAGGTTACTCTATTAGTAAGCTGTGATGTATTAGGATGAGAATTAGAAAATGTTTATGAAATAAAATAAGAATATATCTAAGTAAGTAATATGTGTATTTTAGATATTATAATTTTTGTGTAGTGAAATAAAGGAAATTTGGGTTACCAGAAATTTGAGTATTATGGATGTTAAAGGTTAGAATTGGAATATTGTAACTAGAAATTAAGAATTAGGTAAAATTTTAAAATAGCATATGGATATGTATAAACAAAAATAGATTGACAAATGTTTTAATAGAGCTTGCTATGGTTAGAAACTTACTAGTTTTACTATGTTATATCAAATGTTAACGGGAAATAGAGAAGGAATTTTTGACAATGTAACCTGAGACATGTACTAAAAATGCTGTTACTGAACTATTGATTACCCGGTCACCATGTTGCTTTCTAAATACGTGGATGTTAAATTGAAAAACTAATAAAATTTGTTATAAAAAAACCAAAAACCTCTAGGATTTTTAGCTTGGAACAAAAGCGGATTTAAGAAGGTTTAAAAGAACTGGAATAGAAAATATTTTCCCACTCGCATTGAAAGTAAATGCAGGGGACTGAAAAAGGAAGCATTTTTGCTTTTGTACAAAAGGAGATTGGACAAATTAATGCTGGGTCAGACAAATCAGTGGCTAATCATCTCAATGGTA